GGGGTGGTTCGCAGAAGGTCACACTGCAGTGTGGGGTGGAGGCGCTCGGGTGTAGTAGCTGGCAGGCGGTGGAGGATGTGCCAGAGGTTGGTAGGAGGCAATTGTAACGACACCCCTGCTTGGATTGTCTGCAGGGACTGAACCTTGGGCTCTGAAAGCATCCGCCTCTACTGCTGGAGTTAAGGATCAGGCCCACTAGCTAGGGGGCAGAACAGACTTGGCTAAGCCTTTGTACATAGTCTAGCCAATAGAGGAGGACAAAGAACCCCATTGAATTAGCAGGGGTCACACAAGGCGCCCCCAGGAGCACTCGTGCTGCGGAGGCATCCGTGGGTGAGCGGGCACCACGGCAGGGGTGAGTGAGGGTGGCACATGGGTGGCAGGGCAAAGAACCGTAGCTGTAGGGGAACATTGGGGCAGGAGGGGGTGGAGAGGACGGGGCCCTGGGGTGGGCACAGAAGGCATTTGTGCTGAGTGGGGACGGGAGGAAGGAAGGGGCCCGAGGGTCTTGTCTGCAGGGCACGGTGCCCTGGACCTTACAGGAGAGGGAGGCCTGGCCATGTTCTCTTGCTCCTGAACACTTGTAAAGCATCAGAGGGGTAGCCGTGTTAGTCTGAATCTCTAAAAAGTAACAGAGGGTCCTGTGGCACCTTTAAGACTAACAGAAGTATTGGGAGCATAAGCTTTTGTGGGTAAGAACCTCACTTCTTCAGATGCAAGTGCAAGAAGTGAGGTTCTTACCCATGAAAGCTTATGCTCCCAATACTTCTGTTAGTCTTAAAGGTGCCACAGGACCCTCTGTTGCTTGTAAAGCAGACTCTTGTGGGCAGATCCATGGCAGGCCCCTGGCTGGCTGGAGGAACCAGCTCAGCAAAACAGCAGCGTAAGAACAACCCGTGACACGAATGAAGATCGGAATGAAGCGTGTCACCTGGGACGGGGGCTCTCAGACTCCTAGCACAGAGCAGGTCTGAACAGAGAGAGTGCCATGCAGGCCCCGCCTCCGCTCCTAACACCCCATGGGACTACGATAGCTCCCCTGGGAAATGAATTCATGGGAAATGTTCCTTGATCTGTCCTATCCCGTCTGCCCCGGACACTGGAATCCATTCCTCTCCCCCCATTTGCACTGGGGGCTGGATCCATTCCTCCCCCTGTGTTTCCCCCCTCCCCATCTGTGCCAGGGGGCTGGATCCATTTCTCCCCCATCCCCCTGTGTTTTCCCCCCATCTGCCCTGGGGTGCTGGGATCCATTTCCCTGTCCCTCCTACCTGCCTTGGGAAGGCAGTGATCTGTTCCCTGCCTCTCTCACAGCTGACCCTCCATGCTCTGCTCCCCTCCCCTCCCACAGATCTGGCTACCTGTCCTCACCAAACTCCCCTGTCAGCTTGGAGGTTTCTGCTCCTACAGGGAACATTCCACCCCACCCTCCCCAGTGAGCCTGCGACAGGCTCCCCTCCCCAAATCTCTCTGCTCTCCTGCAGAGATGGGACCAGGCCTGGGGCTGGAGCAAAGCTGAACTGCCCCATCCCCCAGTCCCATGCTGCTCATGGAGCTCCATGGAGAAGGAGCTGACTGAGGGACTCTCCCCCTCCCCCATCCGGGAGAGGAAATGAGCATTTTCTCCCTCTGGTTCCTCTCCCCAGCCCTGGCAAAGTCCAATCAACATGCAAAACACTGGGCCAGAGGTGAAACACCTCCCCCACCCTCCCATCCCTCATAAACCACAAATGAGCCGAGCGGCTCAGCTCTTAGCACTGAGATGGGAGGCAAGAACTCCTGGGGCTGCAGGGGGGGTTATTGCTGCATGGAGAGAGCATGGAGGGGCTGACTTGCCCATTGTTCCCATCCTTTCTGGGCGACCCCAGTGGGCTGTCAGACCTGTCCTAGCCTCCCAGTCAGTTGTCTGTGCCCTAAGTCCAAGCTCCACCACGAGACTTCTCCAAGCCCTGGTCCTGCTTCTGATCGTGGGGCTGAGGTTTGGAGTTGCCGATTAGAACGTGCCCAGGGGAGTAGGAGGCAGGGCTCAATGGCCCAGCAGGGTCCAGCACAGAGACTCGTCATGAAGGCAGGCTGGGGGGCCCATGGTACCAGCCAGAAGAGACTGAAGTACCAAGCAGGCAAAATTGGTCTAATGGTTAGAGCAGGAGTCAGGATTCCTGAGTTCTATTCCCGCTTCTGCTGCTGGTTTGCTGTGAGACCTCGGGCAAGTCACTTAGCCTCGGTGTGCCTCGGTTTCCCCATCTGTACAATGGGGCAGTAATACCCGTTTTGGTGAGGTGCTCGGATTCTCAGACGCTCTGAGCAGCTCTGGGGGAAGTCAGCGGGAGCTTTAGGCGCTCAGCACCTCCGCGAATCAGGCCCCGCATCGCTAGGCGGTACAGTGCAGTGTCCCAGCATTGCTGGGTGCCAGTGCTCTAGAAAGCCCAGTTCCTGAGCTGCAGCCTCCGCCCTTGCAGCGCTCCAACTACCTGCACCGCGAGGCCCTGGAGCTGGCCCAGCACTACCCCAACATCCGGGTCACGCCCTGGCGCATGGTCACCATCTGGGGCGGCGCCAGCTTGCTGAAGATGTACCTGCGCAGCATGAAGGACCTGCTGGAGATCACGGACTGGCCCTGGGACTATTTCATCAACCTGAGCGCCACTGACTACCCGACCAGGTCAGCAGGGGGAAGGGAGGGTTCCTGGGCTCGGGGGGTAGAGAGCCAGGAGGGAAGGAGCCGCTTGCTGACGTAGCACCATGGAGCAGGAGCTGGGATCTCAGCACCCTCTCTGGTCTCCCCCGCCCCCGGAAGACACTGGAGATCCCCACTGCTGCATGGGGGTGGAGGGGGAAAGGAGGAGAGAGCTAAGGGGCAACGAGGGGTGGAAATGGAACCCACGTGCCCGAGAAGGGGATTGGGGAGCCCTGTCTGCACAGACCCCGCCAGCTGGTGAATGAGAAGCCGTGTGGGGTGTGGAGGGGGGCAGCGTGCGACGGGGGAATGGGGCAGTTCAGCTTTGCTCCAGCCCCAGGCCTGGTCCCATCTCTGCAGGAGAGCAGAGGGTCTGGCTGGGAGGGCGGTACCTTTGCTGGGAGTCTCGAGTGTGAATCAGTTTATCCTGCTCTGTCCCTCGCCCTGTGAGTGAAACACCCCCACCCCTGCTCGCTCTCATTAGGCGCCAGGCAGCGGAGCAGGCGGATTTGCACCTCGCCAGCCCTGCGATAAGGTTTTGCATCTGTGCCCGTCAGCCAGCTTTGTGGCTCTGCAAATTGCAGCCTCACCACGTAAGCCTTTAGTCCTGGCAGCTACGGCTCCCGCTCCAGCGCTGCTAACGCACTCTTGTTCGTATCCCTGCTCCCTACAGGACCAATGAGGAACTGGTGATGTTCCTGACCAAATACCGAGATAAGAACTTCCTGAAGTCTCACGGCCGAGATAACGCCAGGTAACCCGGGTGTGGGGGCAGAGCGGCGCTTGGCACCGGGGTCGGGATAGAGATCAGCAGGGGGGTGAGCTCTGAGAAGAAGCGGGCACTAGGGCAATTATACCAAGCAGCTGAAAGAACAAGTCCTGCCTCCATACGTCCCTGTAACAGCGACACAAACAATGAGCCGGGTCAGCCACCGTGTCAATCCGCGTTGGCTGTAATGGAGCTCCCCTGAGTCAGGCCAGCCGAGGAGCTGCCCTTGACCTTGTCACCGCACACTGGGAAGTGCCCCCGCTCCTGTTAGCGAGGTGACCTCTCGGCAGTCGGGAATGTGTGTTCCTCTAGAGACCACACGCTGTTGATCCCGCCCCGTCCCTACGCAGGTTCATTAAGAAGCAGGGCCTGGACCGCCTCTTCCACGAGTGCGACTCCCACATGTGGCGGCTGGGCGAGCGGCAGATCCCGGAGGGCATCGTGGTGGACGGCGGCTCGGACTGGTTCGCGCTGACGCGGAGCTTTGTGGAGTACGTGGTCTACACGGAGGACCAGCTGGTGTCCCAGCTGCAGCAGTTCTACACCTACACGCTTCTGCCAGCCGAGGTGGGTGGGCGGGGAGGTTCCCCGGGGCGGGGGGCTCAGAGCTGGCTTCACAGGAGTCTCTCCCGTTTTGAATCATGTTCCTCCTCTTGGGGACATTATCCTGCCTTGGGGCCTGATCCTGTTCTCATTGACGTCAAAGCTCCCAGCGGCTTGGATGGCAGCAGGATAAAGCCCTTTAATTGCTTCCCATTAACATCCTGCCATTGGAAGATCATTCGAGTGTGGACAAAACTCTGTCTGTCTGTGTCTGGAAGAGGGGCGTGGAGCAGGGTGTGTGGTGGGCACGGGGGGTGGAAGTTGAAGAGACCCAGCCAAGTACAGCTGGAAATCTCCTGCATTCCCCCGTCGCTAAGCTGCCCCCCGGTGCGCTGGGCCCTGGCGGACGTGACATAGGTCCCCAGCCCTCTGGCTGTTACTGGCGGCAGGCAGGGCAGACTCCACAGCCGACCCATCTCGGTTACCTGTGTTAGGTGCCTCCAGCCCCTGCTCAGCGGCTCTCCTGGCGCTGAGGCGCTCGATGCCTTTCCGCACAGAAGCTTGAATGCGGAGCCGCCCCGGCCAGACCAGAGACCGTGTAGCTGCCTTCGGGAGGTTTCACGTTTCTCTCTCCTAACGTCTCAGAAGCAACAAGCTACCCCCAGAGCTGCAGCTGCTTTGTGTTTTGGTTTTCCTGCCTGCCTGCACCACGCGCAAAGCCTGGGCCCCAGCTCTGCCTTTCCCTGTTCCACCAGCCCCAGGACTAAATTCTTGAGGTTTACTGGAATTCAGCTCCGCTGGTTCTTCTGGAGCGTCGCTGGCTCCGCAGGGCGAGTGGGAGCCAAGGCTTGTGTGCGTCAGTGAAGCACCATACAGGGTCCGATTCCCCAGGTCCCGCACCTGTGCAGCCGTCGAGACCTGTGCAAAGAGCGTGTGAAGTGCTGCCCTTCTGCCTTGGTAGCACTTCCCTCCCCTTTGCACGGCTACCCGTGGCTGCACGGCATGTGGGGCAGGGGAGAGTCGGACCCACAGCAAGCAGACGTGCTGAATAAGAAAGTGCCTTTGTTTTTTCCAGTCCCTTTTTTAAACTAGCCACCTTGCGTGCTACGAGACCCCCGGATACGAGCCGCTGGAGGGGCGTGATGGTCTGGTTCCGGGGAGCGTGCTGGGAATGTATGTAGAGTGAGTGTGGAACCGCCCGCCCCCCGGATCCGTTATGGGAGGGAGCCAGCTAGGAATCCCAGGGGTTTGCAGACAGGAAATATTAGGGGCTTTTAAACCCGCAAAGCTCTGTGTAAACAGCTGATGCCTGAAGTCTCCTCCTGCTGGGAGGAGGCACAATGGGGTGGGCTGGAGGTGCATGCGGGGGGGGAAACTAGCAGTGATCTCCGTCATCCGGGCTTGCTGCATCTCTGGTGGTTTTTGCCCTTTTCTCTGTCTGTGCACAGTCCTTTTTCCACACCATCCTGGAGAACAGCCACGCCTGCGAGACTCTCGTCGACAACAACCTCCGGGTGACAAACTGGAACCGCAAGCTGGGCTGTAAGTGCCAATATAAACACATAGTCGACTGGTGTGGGTGCTCCCCAAATGACTTCAAACCCCAGGACTTCCTGCGGCTACAGGTGAAAATGACACTGTCCCTCCCGTCTGCTTCTCTCCTTTCTCTCCCCAACACACCCTCTTTCTTTAGTCCTACAAGCAGTTCCCTTCCCAGTCCCAGATCTCCTTCCCTTTCCTCCCCTCTGCTCTCCAACAGATCTCATGCTCAGACAGCAGCTCATCTTTCCTTCCCCCACAGGCTTTGGTTGAGCAAAAAAAAACTCTTTTAAAACCTTAATTGCTCTTAGGAGAAATTTTATTCAGTGTGGTGCTGATCTGTCTCCTTTGCAAACGTGAGGCTGACCAAGGCAAGTCAGAGATCTTCTGAAGCCATGCACGCAGTCGTCCCAAATGCAGTTAATTGGCTCTGCTAATTGGCTCTGTGCTATTGAAGGTCCTGATCCGGCCATCTGAGCCATGCACGCAGAATTGTGCCCCAGGCAGAGCCCCATTAGGGCTCCGAGGGGAGTTCACCTGTTCACTCCTAAGTGATGGAAATGAGGCCTGTCAGTGACAGGCTTCTCCGGGAGATACCCTCAAGTTGCAATATTTCTGGAAAACAAACTGATCTGCCTTATGAGCAGCGTTTTCACTGATGACAATTCTTCCCACTGTAATCAATCTAATTCATGATTGAGGCCGTTGGCCCTTTGCCTTTCTCTTGGCTTGCGCAGTAGAAATAGACGCTGCATTTGCTGCTCTAGTCAATCTCTCTGCTGCTCTAGCCATTGCCAATGGTGTCGGGAACGCCTGTCTCTTTTCAGCAACTCTCCAGACCCACGTTCTTTGCCAGGAAGTTTGAGTCGACGGTGAACCAGGAAGTTCTGGAGATCTTGGATTCTCACCTCTATGGTAACTACCCGCCCAACACGCCAGCCCTCAAGGCCTATTGGGAGAACGTCTACGACCGTGTGGATGGGCTGAGCGGGCTCAGTGATCTCATCCTGACTGTGTACACATCCTTCTCCAGGCTAGGGCTGCAGAAAGTGACCTCATCCCAGATGCAGAAGGCAGAGAAATTCTGCAGGTAGGAGACCCAGAGATCCCGGGTCTGGGTTCTGAGCAGTAGGGCCGCCTCAGCACTGTGGGATTGTGAGCATGCCAATGGTCTCTTCTCTGTAGATTTGAGCCCCATGGCTTCCCATCCAGCGTGCATCTGTATTTCTACGACGACCGTTTCCAGGGTTACTTGGTGATGCAGGAGGTGCAGAACTCTGGGACGGGGCAGGTGGAGTCTCTGGAGATGTGGATGATGCCGCGAGGGGCCCTGAAGCTGGCAGGTCACGGAGGACAAACTAACCGACTACAGAACCTGGAGGTAGGACAGTTATGCGCTCCCCTCTCTGTCTATGGCCACAGCTTCTCTAAGGCAGGCAGGGAGCGTGGATGGGACAGCACGGTGCAGGGGTAGGTGTGGGTTTCCTGTTGGGGGCTCTACCAGAGCAGAAGGGAGGGCGCAGGAGAATGGGACGTGGCACCTGAAACCCATTGGCAGTGCTGTCCCATGGTCATGCTCTCCAGCAAGGGAAATGCCCTGGGGTGGGGTGGCTGAGGCAAAACACCCTATTTAATAAGCTGCAACTGCTAGGAGTTTGGCTTCTTTCTCTGAATATTCGAGCTCCTTCCGGCATCTGGCCCAGTCCAGGCTGGCCGGGGAGAGACTGTGTTGCCTTCTCCTGCTAGGCCGATGGAACATGTCCTCTGGAGTGTGATGTAAGAACAGAGGTGGCCGGTGCCTCCTCACGCGTTGGCTGACTGTGGCCTGGTACCGCCCCATCCTGACTTCACTCTCCCTTTCTCCCCTTGCAGGTGGGCACAGAGTGGGATCCCAAGGAGAGGATATTCCGGAATTTCGGGGGCCTGATTGGGCCTTTCGACGAACCAGTGGCCATGCAGAGATGGTCCCGGGGGCCTAACCTCACCGCCACCGTGGTTTGGATCGACCCCACCTACGTCATCGCCACATCCTACGACATCACCGTGGACGCGGAAGCGGAGTTCACGCAGTACAAGCCCCCTCTCAACCGGCCCCTGCGCCCCGGGGTCTGGACCGTCCGCCTCCTCCAGTTCTGGGAGCCCCTCGGAGAGAACCAGTTCCTGGTGGTGCCACAGACCTTCAACCACAACCAACCTGTTGGGAAAGGTAAGGGGAGTGGCTGCCTCCTGCTGGACACCACCTACGCCTAGTCAGTCCAGCCCAGCCCAGATTTCCTCAGGCTGCTCCGTCTTCAGCAGGGAGGGAGACTCAGTCTCCGTGGCCTGTGGGACCCTTGGACTCTGCTGAGACTGGCAACAAAATAGGATCAGTTGTACCTAGTGGCTTTTCCTTGACCACTGAAAACCACCAAACCTGTTCCACACAGGCCACCAAGCAGCCATTGGTGGGCTGATCTTAGGGCTTGGTCTACATGGCGAGTCACTGCACGGCAAGCCACGGTGTAAATCTACAGCACGCCAGCTTGCCACACACGAACGTCCCATGTGGATGCTGCTACAGTGCAGTGAAAGCCCCGGAGGGCGGGTCGGGGTGCTGCAGGGTACTCTGGACCTGTCACTGCACTGCCCACCTGGGATGTTACTGCGCGGCAAACTGGCGTGGTGTAGAGTCACACCCTGGCTTGCCGTACAGTAACTCGCTGTATAGACGTGATCTGAGCCCACGACCTTCTGACAGAGCCTTCGCCACCTGTCACTGGGGAAATCTCGAGCCATACTCTCGGCTGCTGCAAATGGGAGAGACCCCCCTGACGTCAGTAGAGCTGCATCCATTTAGGCCAGGTTTGGCCCTGAGAATCCACGTTGGCATGAGCTAGCTTTAGATGTGCAGCTAGGGCTGCCCGGGAAATTGTCCATCCCAACCGAAAATGTCGTTTTTGTGAAATGTTCTTACCTGGGAAATTTTTGGTTTACGTGGGGGGCAAACCTCCCCCTGCTTCCCCCGTCCTGACCAGCTCTCCACACAACCACGGCCCAGCCAGTTGTTGAGGAAATGTCCAGCTGCAAATGCAGGCCAGAGAACTCTGCCATGTGACCTGTGGCTTCCTGTCACTGTTAATGTGGGGCATCAGCCCATGGACACTACAGGTCCCAGCATGCCATGCTCCATCTTGTTCTGAGCATCCTGGCCTATCCTATCTCCCTATTCTTCCCCCACCCACCTGTGATCTCTCCTTGTGTGTGTCCGGCGGGGGTGGTCTCTCCTCCAGTTGGGTGTGGTATGTTAAGGGACCGTCTGGTGAGCGCCTCTCCACCGTGTCCAAGGGGCATGGTGGGAGGTTTGGGGACTGTGTCCGCCTGTCTCTCAATCACCTCTCCCTCTGTGTTTTGCCCAGATGACAGCAGCTGGTTACATGGGGGTCCCCCCCGCAATGAGTATATGGAACAAAACTTCCAGGGGCTGGGTGGGATTTTGAACCTGCCGCGCTCGGATGAGGTGGAGAAGGAGGCCCTGCGGAACGCGCAGCTGATGGGCAAGGCCCTGGAGGACTGGACGGACAGCAGCATCGGCAGCTTCTGGTCGGTGGCGGATCTCTGCGTGAGCAGCCCCTCCAGCTGCTCCTCCCTGGACACGTGCAGCAAAACCTCCTGGAGTTCGCTTTCCCCAGACCCCAAAGCAGAACTGGGGGCCATCAAACCTGACGGGCGACTGAGGTAGCAGGGGCAACCTGGGGCAGAGAAAACGGAACAAGGGAGCGTCCCCCACGGCGAACGTGAGGGGGGGAAGCGCACGTGCCCCCAGGGGGGATTCTCTTGTCTGTCATCCCGTGAAATGGCACCTTATTCACTCGGGGAAGAGAGAGAGGAACCTTCAGGCGGCGGAAAAACTTTCCTGTTTCATTTTGGGGGGAGGTGCTGGAACAGGAGTCCCACCCACCTCTCCCAGGAATGGGCACTGAGTGGCTGGAGAGAGCATGCGGAAGCGCCCGTCACCAGGGCACAAGGAGGGTGCTGGCAGATGGGAGGAGCGGCGTATTTATTGAATCCGTGCAGGTGTGACTCAGGTGTTGGGGGGGGAACCCGGCTGATCTGCCAGTTCTGGGTTACCCCGGCACACCCCCTGCCCTGCCCCTCCCAGTCCGTGGCTGAATCTCTGTGGGATCAGGACTCACGCTGCTGATCTTCCACATTCCTGAGCGATTGCTGGCAGAGGACTCTGGGGACAAGGGTCTATGGGGAGCACCAGAGGCAGGGGCTGTCCTGCCCGTGTCCTTGGAGAAGCTGCTGCTGGCTTGATGCCTGCATCTCATCCCCCTCCACCCTATCCTCTTAGTTTGTATTTTTATAAATATATAGATAAATATATATGAAGCAAAGTGCAATAGAGACACAGGCCCTCGTTGGCCAGGGAATCTGTGACTCCTCTCCCCTTCGCTGTAATGTACTTTGTTCTCTTGGTGGCTCGGGGGTAGGGTGGAGGGTGGAGGGGGTTGAGTATTTCATTTCCTTGTGGTGGCTGCTGGGAATCAAACCTTGCTGTCCCTGGGTGAGGTCGGTTCCCCTCCTGCTCGCCAGGGGGTGCTTCGTCAGGCAGGTTCTCTGTAGCAGCCGAGTGCCAAGGCTTCCTGGAGCGGGGCTGCCAACTGTGCCAAACATTCACACCTGCTGGTGTTTCTCGTGTGATGGCTGGAGCTTGGGAAGGGGGAAGCGAAGCCCCCGGGCTCACCCAGGTCACTCCTCTAGTGACTGAAGTCTGAGAGGTCCCCATTGACTCCACTGGCTTAGAGGGAGGCCCAGCAGGGGCTGCTTGGGTGGATGAATTAACCCTCCCACCCCTATAAAGTGTCTGCCCTGCCCCAGACGGGTGTTCAGTGCTGTATCCAGTTAGCCCACTCACTGGGCTCAGTGTGAATTTCCCTCCCCTGGGTTGGCAGAAACCTCACAGCCTCTCCACATACCTGCCATGGCTTCCACCGCGAAGAGCCAAGGCTTAGGCCAGCTTTGCCCAACCCCCTCCGTCCCGTTCGAGCCTGACTAAAGCAGAGCGCTACTTCCCCCTCTTCCATGGAGGCTAGAGCCCAGTCTTCAGAAGCTGCCCAGACACTATGGGGATGGGGGCCTCATAAGCTACCTACGTGACAACATCCTCCAAGGCCTGGGGGGGTGGGGCTCGTAGGATCCTCCCCCCCACAACGTTCACACCACTTTCAAGACCCCCTTTTGTTTGGCTCCTAACCCTGGGCTGATCTCAGCGAGTGGGTCCCAAACGCTGAGCCCCCGCTTGAATTCGCCGTGGTGACGGGAGCTGGGGTAAGATGAATTCTCTGCCCTAGGGGTGAGCCTCTGTGTGACATATTATACTGCAGAGGGAATGCACAGACTGACTCTTGAGTCAGGACTCCTGCAAAGGAGCTGGGGAGCTGGACGCTGTTCAGTGGGAATGAGCCCATTTTTCGAAGTGCTGACCCAGATACGAACTTACCCAGCATTCAGGAATGTTCTGCTGGGGGGTGTCAATGTGACCCATTCTAGGGCAAGAGCTCACAGGCGGTTCTGGATCAGAGGGGCTGATCTGGGTTCATCTCTGGTTTTAACTTGATCATCTCCCTGTCTCTGGTTCAAGTAGGGGGAAGGTGCTGAAGGGAACATGTTGTAAGATAAGTTCCTTCTCTAGCCAAATGGGCCTCGCCAGACCCACAGCGGTCAGAGACCTCCATACCTCTCTGGCAGATGATCCCAGTGAGGATAGATGACACGTGTGCCTATGCCCCACCGCCTCCGTCCCCTCACTTTTAGCTGGGCACGTGAGGCAGTAGCACTAGGGCTGGGAAGGGACTCGGCCTGGAACGTGTTCTGTGTTCACAAGTAAACCTGGTGGTTGGAAATAAGTGGGAGAAACTATGCAGGGCTTGGCCCCTGTTCCAAAGAGGTAACGCTGAAAGCTTTGTGTCAGAAGCATTATGTAAAGTTGTCTTAAATATGCAACACCACCACAAATATAGCTGTATCTCTATGGCACTGTGCGTCAGTTCTTCCCGCGCAGCCTGGAAATGCCGCCGGGGTTCCTATGGAGATGCGATCCAGAGACAGATCAGCTGGCCCCATCCATCCTGCCTGTCCTGGGGAAGCCCTTGAGGGACTGACACTCACTTCCTCTGTTTCAGTCCCTTTCTTTAAACATCTGCTCACTCTCTTGACCGTAGGGGGGCTGTAGGGGGCCACAGAAGAAAATGAAAGTCTGGAACAGGTTTGCACAGCAGCCTCCATTAACACCTTCCTCAAAGACTGGAAACTCACTGAGTGTTATTTAGGGAGTTTCAGCATCCATCAGTCACCCATTTCAGGAAGCCTCGTTCTGTAGCTCTCCCTGCTACCCACCTGGTGCTGTTTGCCTCTCTGGTTTTTTGGGGGTTTTTTTTATTATGGTTTTGTTCCCTGGGCAACTGCTGCTTCTGCGTCCGGCTCTTGCTTGAGGCCCGACTTGAACCCAAGAGGCAAGCTGCATGTGGGGTGGGGAGCTTTGGAAGCGGTGGGATAAGAATTGCTGGCCCAGAATGCCTCTGGGGGCAGAAGTGGAGATTTTATGCCATGCAGTGTTTCCCCACCGCCATTTGCTCCCTAATAATAAGATTTGGTGGTGACAGGTGCTACATATTCATAAAGTTGAGGATCTTTGGCAGGATCTTGGTAGCGTTGGGTTCTATTCTGCGCCATACACGGACTCCTTGGGACATTGTACAGGTCATTTCACACGTTTGTGACTCAGTTTCCCCTAGCGTAGAGTGGCAAGAATGCTCCTGACAATATTTCACTTGCAAGTGTGGAGTGAGGCTTGATTCCTGAATGTTTGTCAGCAGGTGGAACTTGTCCAAGGGAAGTGCTAACTCCTATTAATACATTCATAGCCCCTTTTAGCCACCCTGTGTGTTGCTACACCCGAGGGTGCATAGAGCTGGCTGCCTGCCTGAACTGTGCCAGAACCGTCTTTTAATGAGTCTGAGGAGAGCTGATAGAGGAAATGCTCCATGGTTTCAAAGCATTCAGGAACCAGACTGTGTAACAGCACCACAGAGACCATTCCCATTTAATGGGTAAATAACACCAGATGCATTAAACAAAAGCTGCTTCTGTGTTTTTCCCACGTATTTGTTTGATCTTCGGTGCGTAGCTACAGCCAAACCTACTTTGCCCCAGCATATCCTTGTGTTCCTTCCTGGTTTTGAATGGGAACTAGTTCAAGAGTGTGGTCCTTTAAATGTGCTGCCCACGTTCACTCTGGCTAAGATGTGAAGGAAGTTTCTTGGGTGGATTTAAAAGCCGCCTGGGGTGGATTTTCTCTGCCAGTGCTGTGACTTTGTTTTTATTATTTGTGTTACAGCAGCACCAAGTGGCCTTAACTGAGATCAGAGCCCCAGTGTGCCAAGTACTTTAGTGTGGGTTTGTATAAGCAGACCCTGCCCTGAAGATCTTACAGTCTAACTAGGCAGACACAGGGTGAGAGGAGAAGCAGAAGCACAGGGAGGTGAAGTGACTTGCCCAAGGTCACACAGCAGGTCAGTGGCAAGCCAGGAATAGATCCCAGGTCTCCTGAGGCCTACTCCTGTTCCCTGCGTGCTGGACTCGAAGTCTTCTTCCATGCTGCCACTTATGTGTGGAAGGCTCTTCCTGAACTGATCTGCCAGGTCCTACCTCTCTAAAGCCCTCCAGACTCAGCACTGTCATGACACCTCTAAGAAACCAGCCAGCTAGTGATAGGGGCAGATGGGGACATGGGCATTTAATTTGTTTTTGTACTGCAAATGCATCACTTTGATTGTATCTTTCTTTCTCCCACGCTTTGTGTTTTGCTTGTTGGCTTTAGGCTGGAAGAGCTTCAGTGTGGGGATCTGGGTTTTGTACGTATTTGTAAAGGACCTAGTACAATGGAGCCTCTTTCCATGCTGGGGTCTCTATGTGCTACTGCAATAGAAATATGAAATAATACTCACTGAGAATGGGGAATAGAACATTGTTACTTCCCTTTCTTTCCTCTTCCCCAGGAGCATCTTACAACCATCAAGACGCTGCTGTGAGCTCAAGGAAAATAATAAGGGTATTTAGTTTTTGTGAAATGTGCTGGTATAGAGTAGATACAGCTCGGGCACCATCCTTATGACATTTTCCCAGCATCACCTGACTAAGCGAGAGGGGACCCCTTGCTAGGGGCAAGAGGGAAACTCAAACTCTGTTGCAGACATTTGGAAAGAAACTGGTTCTTATGTACAACGAAGGGGCTGAGTTTACAGTGGTGGCAACTTGTAGCAGCTGGTGGCTTTTTTTAAGTCATGCAATTTCGTGAACCTCTCACTTTTAAAAAAGAGAGCTAAGTTTTCTAGCCCTGGGGTTGGTGGAGAAAAGCTGGAGAACATGAATCCTGAAGCAGAAGCCCCACTATTTAAAAAACAAACACAAAAAACAACCCTCACGATTTGTGGGGCTTGACTCACAATTTTTAAATGCTTGAGGTTGATAATGATATACATAGTAGACAGTCTTATCCTGCATGTAAGACCATTTGCAGAAACAATGACCTGTACACGTGGTCTGATCGCGTTACTTAACGTTTGTACGGCACTTGTGCTCCAACATTAAGCAGTGACCATTTGTCTGTTCTCTTACCCATACGGCGTAGCTCCAGCAGAGGGAGCGCCTTGCATCATTGCAAACCCTAAAATCACATTAAAGGCGCAGCCTTCGTTCCAAGGGCAATGAGGATTTCTGGGGGCGGGTGGGGTGGATTAACATATCGAAAAACAGCTCTTAAGAGTCGTGGGGAGACTTCCTCCTTCCCTTTCTAACACGGGTATAAATTAAGGGCTCATCTGACGGGTCTTATTCAGCTGGAGCGAGAGAGACGGGTATTTTTAAACCATCTCTCGATGTAGGAGGGTTTTGTCGTGGGTTTCAGTGAGACATAGTTTTGTTGTATTTTCCCCTCCGTTATTTAAACAGAGCTTGCGCTGGGGAAGGCCATTATAGAAAGGGGAGCCAAAGTATATGAGGCAAGGAGGATAATATATTTAGATGTTTCCAATATAGTTGCAGCAGAATCTTCCTCTCGAAGCCCTGCATGGGCTGAAGAGGTGCTGCTAGCTGCGGCTGCA